AACAACTCTATCATTATCTTCGGGAAATGTGGAAGCCATTTGCTAAGGCTGAGAACTTCGTGGTGGTAAAGCCCTTGTGCCACAACAAGCTTTTGAATGTGGTGTCAGTGCTCAGCTATGCTCCACTCCCCACAGCAAAGTCATTCAGGAAATGATGGTGGGCTATCAAAGAGCAATCAAGCAGGAAGGGCAATGCGTAGGTGATGCTGCAGGGGAAATACTGCAGCTTTTTGCACTGATGATATTGTTGCAAGAACCTTGAGCTCGCTGAGAAAAAGCAAAGAGTTTGAATAGGTGTGAAATGAATTTTCTGCTGCTTTCAAAGGCACACAGTTGCTCCGGGAGAGGTACCTTTGAGACGACAGCATGTAACTGAAAAACACACGAGGCAGGCTCCAGACTGGGCATCTACTTCCAAACTGGGCAAACTCAATAAAGTTACAAAGCCTTTTATAGTCTATAATAGTGTAACATTGGCCCCCATCTCCTCAGTGAGCAGCAAACGGTGTAATGTGAGCAGAAGCGCTTTGTTAACTGCCATAGTGAAACTAATGTGAATTATTCCTGGTGTTGATTTTGACCAATTGGTATGTGCATTTTAAAGATGGCTTGACCCTTCCCTGTGACAACTCAGTGATGCTAAGGCCATATTGGACTCCCCCCCCCACTTTAAAGCAGATTTATGGGGTAATTCAAGTAAAGCCCAACTGAATGCTTTTAAGTGCTCTACTTGGTGGATCTCAATCTGCCCTTAAAATACTTCAGTTTTTAAAGAAAGAATCTTTCTGCCAATCAACTCCAATATTTATTTTTCTACATGCTGCAGAGACTTGAATATTACATTATTACCAATCTCAGCAAAATCCAATTTTGGAGAGCATTTGTGGCACAAAAATGTCTTGAAAGGGGGTTGAGATTTGCACGTCATATGTGAGGCCCTAAGTTTGAGCCTCAGGGGAATTAATACCAAGTTGGGGTAATAATACACATGTGTATAACTTTCCTTTGCAGTATGAAGTAGGAAATGTCAGGTGAATGAATGACATTCATCAATGGTAATTTCAGTCAAATCTCAAAAAGAGAAAGAATACTTTGAACTATGGCTGTGAGAAAAACATATTGCAAAGAGCAGAATTCTCTAGGTAGTGGGAAGAAAAGGAGTCTCAGGTCTTTGGGTTCTAAATTCAAGTTCACAAGTTTTGATGCTAATTGAGTCTAGATTTTCATGATGGGAGAGGGAGGGAGAGAGAGAGTTCTAGAAACAAATTAGGTTGGGATATGGGAAAATCTTTAATTTGAGTTTATTTAATAGGTAGAGATATCTAATAAAATTTTTGAGGATTAAGATTAAAATAACGTGTTGGGGTAATTTAAAATAGTAATGATGTATATAAAGAATGAGAAGCTTTGGTAATAGAGGAAACAGATATGCTATGAAGAAACCAGAGAGAACTTTAAGAGGCTAATGCAGCCATCTAGGCATGAACCATGGGAGTTATAATAGGAATGGAAAGGAAGGGCTGAGTTTGAGAGATAGTGCAAGGAAGGGCAATGACAAAATAGGCACCTCATACAATTCACTTGTTTTGCTGTTTGTTTGTAGCTTCTGGTTTGTGTCAGTGAAAAATTAAACGTAGAAAACAGATATGCAAAAAGATGTCAAACGGAAAAGACAAGGCGAGTGTTAGAACTGTTGAATCTGTGATGAGATTGGACCACCTCAGCAAGCAGTTGGAAGGAAGGATTATAGGAGAAAGTATGGTCTAGAGGTATTGTTGGTTGGAAGGACATGGTAACAGAACCTGCTTGCTGTGGGACAGTTGCACACCGTGTAAAGATATATTTCTATGATTGCTGTAGTAAAAAGGTGAACAGCTAATAGCTAGACAGGAGGTATAGGTGAGGTTTTTGGGGAGAAAAAGGAAAAGGAAGAGGATCTAGGCATGCAGGAGATGCCTGGAGACACAAAGAGGAAACAGGAAGTGCCAGATGGAATACTATGTGGAATCTATGTGATAGAACATAGATTAAAATAAATGATTAATTTAAGTTATCAGAACTAGTTAGGAACAAGTCTAAGCTATAGGCCAAACATAATTAACTGCATAATTAATAAAAAGTCTCTATGTCTTTTGAGAGCTGGCTAGCAGGACAGAAAAAGACTCATTACACCTGCTAGCTATTTTCCAATATTTGTTCTCTCCTTCATCACAGTGACAGACCCCTTGATGGTTAAAAGGGCAGATGACCACCAGAATAGAGTACATTATCCTGCTTTCTGCTAGTGAAGTGTCGTCGTGCCACCGAGTTCAGGCCAACCAAATATAAAATATAAGTAAAGGTATTATATATAGCTTCAATTTCTTTTAGGAGAGGAAAAGATGCTCTCTCCATCTCTTTTACTTTATACTTTATTTTGTCATGGTAGCTGGACCCCTGAGAAATGTCAGGAATCAACGAGAAACCAAGTATTGAGGTCAGTGATATAGAAAGATTAAAAGTCAGGAACTGTAAGGTTTAGATCTGGAGCTGAGCTTGTGAGAAGTGTCCACAGTAATAGAAAAAGTATCAAAAACAACAAAGCAAACAAGTAGATCGGATGGTTACTTATCAACAGAGAACCTACTATAGCCTCAAGATGATCAAAAAGGGATTGTCTGTGATACAATAGTTCAGTGTGTTCAAGTAGGATGGAAGCTGAAAATATCTCTTAAATTTTATATCTTTGAAGGTGTGGCGGTTTGAAAGAAAACGGCCCCCAAAGGGGTGGCACTATTAGGTGTGGCTTTGTTGGAGGAAGTGTGTCACTGTAGGGGTGGGCTTTGAGATTTCCTATGTTTGAAATACTGCCCAGTGAGTCAGTTGACTTCCTGTGTCTGCAAGATGTAGCACTCTCAACTCCAGCACCACATCTGCCTCCACTCTGCCATGCTCCCTACCACGATGATAATGGACTGAACCTCTGAAACTGTAAGCGAGCTACTCCAATTAAACCTTTTATTTTTACGAGTTGCCATGATCATGATGTCTCTTCACAGCAATAAAAACCCTAAGACAGAAGTGTATTGACGCTCTTTGAGAATGGAAAGCATGTGAGACAATCCAACAGGAAGCCAGATTATCCTGCTGGGGGAGGTGGAAGGGATGCGAGTTTGAGCTGGGTGGGTTTGTATTCATTTGGTGACCCCTTTCATTAAGTAGACCACAGGATGGACTGGAATAACGTCTGTTTCATAGGACACTGTTAGCACAGCACACAGAAGGTGCTTACAGCATAGTAAACATTTAGTGTAATAAAACATAAAGTAAAAGATAATCATTCTGATGGCATCACCTCTTCAGTCATGTGGGCGGTGAGGCCAGCTGCTAAGAAGGAGATCAGGGTCAAACTGGCTAGGAAATCTGACAACAATGGGTATGTGTTTTAAATTCAGATATATTTGTAGCTATTAGTATAATTACGAAAAAAAAAACTATTGAAACCCTTATCTCCTCATTTCTAGATGTGGTAACTACTTGATAATGTATGAAATAGCACTTAGCACAATGTGTGGGTGGTACATATAAACGGTAGTTTCAATTATTTTGGTGGAAAAAGTTTGAGATGTGGTCTTATAAGCCGGCAAGAGGTTGATGAAGCAGATCAAATGGCTGCGGAAACCTTGGAATCCAAGTCAAGAGGTGTCCTACAGCTACATCATAGCTGACCAATCTCATTTTCAAACTCCCGTAGAGCAGACTGACCACAAATGGGAAGAGTGAGAAGCAGACTATGCTTCCAAAGAAGAGATAAGGGCTAGAAGAGGCAACATACATCAAAGGAGGACAGATTTGTTTTGACTCGCAGTTCATAGGTTTTAGTTCATAGTTACTTAGCTTCACTGCTATAAGCTGAGGCAAGGTAGAATATCACGGCAAGGAGCATGTGCTAGAGGCTAGCTTTCCTCCTCATGGTACCCAGTAATCAGAGAAGGAACAGATGAGTCGGGAAACAAGGTCTCCCTTTCTAGGCAATAACTTCCAGTAATCAATGTCTCCTCATTAGATCCCGTCTCCTAGTTTCTCTCACTTCCCAGTATTTGAATTTGTCAAAGGATTGATCCACTGATGAAGTTAGAACCTTTGCAATATGATCACTTCTCCAAACCCAGCAGATTAAAACTAAGCCTTTAACATATGGGGTTTGGGGGCTGGAGGAGAGGCAGATATTTCATATTCGTACTACAACACACGGTAAAAGTCTGTCATGATGATTTGGTAGCTCTGAGGAGGAAGGAATCTATAGAGTAGAGATCATGGGACCACACCAGCATGGATGGAGCACTGTGGGCAGACTCTCTGAGAAAGGCAGCCTTCCTCTCTCTTTAGGCTGGAGCCCTTCTCCTGGAAGGACAGATTAGGCCGTAGATTAGCCAGTGACCTGTGTTTAGCTGGGTGATGTCTTCTGTACCTATGGGCGGACTTTACAAACACACATTCCATGAATAAGTAGCTGCCCAAAGCTGTCACTGGAAGGAGACAACAGGAATGGTGGGAAAGACATTTGAAAAAGAATAAAGAAACAGAAAAAGAGTCAGAAAACCGTCTGGGGTTGAGAACTTGATGAGCTGGACCGTCTTTAACTGGACAGAGGGAAATTCGTTGTGGAGCTTCTTAGGTTCTATGAAGAGCAGATACCATGTCCTCTGGGCTTGTGAAACCACTTAGTCTCCTTAGTTCCTTTCATGGACTTCACCATCGTCTAGATCCTGGCAGATCAGACCTCAGTCATTCACCTGCCATCCTCTCTCTCCCCCTGACAGCTGTACAGGCCAGGAGTGCCTCACCTCGGCTCATGTGTCTGCTCGGTCCCCTTTCACGCCAGACCCTCCCGCATGCCTTTGTCTTATGTAGGTCTTGCTTCTAACATCCTCCCATCAGAGAGAGCTTTTCTGACTGTCACCACTCCAAAAGCAATGGGACCTGCAGAATGGTGCCTAAAAATGAGGCGGACTAAGGTCTCATATTGTAGCCAACTTTATTTAGAGCCTCAGATAATTTTTTATTCTTTAAGCAAGGTCATCCTGTAGGCAAAGTTCATAAAGTTCAAGCTGTATACCAATCACAAGGACAAGCTGTGCTTGGCTGAGTAACCCCAGTAAATGCAATGGTCATCTGAACCAAATCCACTCCTGTTTGCTGCGCCTAGGAGGGGCACAAGAACATTTTCCAAGAACAGTTCTGTGCTTTGGAGGATGGAGATCACAAGTCTCTTGTTCTCTTTCCTTGGAGTTTTCTCACAGGCACCAATAATTCCCCTCACACAACTTCCCCCATGGACTGTGTTCTGACACCCGAGCACCAATGCTAAAGCCACCCACTCTTTGTGTTTTCTTTTTGTGCCAGACAACACTACTTAAAGTCTCAAATATGTGTATTAATTTATCATCACCCCCTTTTCCCTGAGCACAGCCTACTTGAATGAAGAGTCTTTCTTTTCATCACTAATGTTTCTCCTATAACCAGTGGATGGTTTTTAAAGTATTTCTTGGGGATGGGGGGGGGGCGGAGAATAAACACGAACACCTTTTCTTGCTGTGAGTACAATCACTCTCTCTATTTAGCAATAGAAATATGAAATAAAGCAAATAAACAACAAGAGAGAAAAATACAACAGCAGAACTAAAAATGAGGGCCAAAGAGAACTTTTCACTGGTCTCTAGGTCTTGGTCAGAGTTCAAATTGATTCATGAGACCGGATAGTCAGCAAACTGTAGCTTCCTTTTACTGGAATATCTGCTCTGTTTGAAAAGAAAATCCACATGAATCTATAGAATGGGGACCCACAACGTAGCAACAGTGCTACAAACTGCAGATCAAGAAACATGATCCATGCAAGACTCTATTGCTTGTTACGCTCAGTCCGTTATGATCCACAAGGAAAGAGAGAATCAACACTTATGGGTTCTAAAGACTTTAATAATAAGTCACCACCTAAGCAGGTCACTGATCAATCATGGCTTCCAAAACAGTGACTCAGGAGCCTGATTACTCCTGGCAGCCCTGAACGGGGCCAGAAGCAGGGTTCATAAACAAAATTCACAAACGTTTGTTGCCAAGTTACAGACATAATTTTCACAATCAGACGAAAGATCAGGGACTTTCCTTGTGTGTTCCATCACTGTCACCTGACACAAAATGGGAGTTTTTCAATCCAACCAATCAGATTCATTTGTATTTTTTTCTTCCTGTTGTTAGGAACAGCCATAATGTTTTGAGAGAACTAAGGGACATAGCAGACTATTCTGTTGCCTAAGGAGGAGGTTGGTCAGCCATTGAAAAGTTCGCAGCTCTCCTAGGGCTTGCCCAGTCTACATGTTACCCTAAAAGTAAAATGGAGTCTGAAGTAAAAATGGCAGTACTTAGGCCAAGGTGATTTTGCCTGCTCCCTTCATTGCTGACTAGCTAGACATCCAAGAATGTACTGAACCAGCTAAGCCTCAGGATCCTAGATGGTCAATGAAACTGAGAAGAGCCATCCCTTGGAGTTACTTTGAGGGCTAGATGATCTAGTGACAGGTCTCTCCAGGTTCTGTACCAATGGAGAAGGATTTAGAGACCCTCAGGAAATCTTGCCTTGAGGTGTATCCTTGGCCTGCCCCTTTGTAAGTCACTGTTGACCTGCCTTTAAGACTGAGACCACCTGGCTGTGACTACTGGTGTTACGGGATATTAGTTCTTCATGCCTCAGTTTCCTCAGCTTTCCAGTGACACTGGAAATAGCACTGACCTCATAAAATTGTTGCAAGATGCTTTGTTGATGCTCATGGGAGGCCTGCCCCTTTCTGAGCAAATACGGAGGAGGAAGGAAGAGTAGGTTGAAGGGGGATGGGAGGAGAGGAAGGAGTGGGAGGAGAGGAGAAGCTGCAGTGGGGATGTAAGAGAAATAAATTAATAAAAAAGTGTTATGAGAGCTAAATAAGTTAATATCTGTGGGCTGGCATATCCTGACCACTGTTTCTTAAATACAAAACAAATAAGAGGCTGGAGGGATGACTCAGCCTGTCAAGTAATTGCTTTGTAAGCACGAGGATCTGAATTCAGATCTCCAGCACACATCTGTAACTCTAGCACCATGGGGGTGGGGTGGGGTGGGGTGAGGAAGAGCCAGGCAGATTCCTGGAAACTCATTGGTCATCCAACCTCGCTGAATCAATGAACTCCAGGTTCAATTAGAGAATCTGTCTTACAAAATAAGGGGGAGAGCATTCAAAAAAGACATTATATGTTGACCTCTGGCCTCCTCATGCAGGTGCACACATATGCACCTGTGTGTACATGGGAATATACCACACACACATAGCACATACTCATTCATAAATATTTCTCAAACAAATGATATTGTTGAAGGGACTAAATACTTTATATTACTCTAAAGGAAAGAAAAGGTTGGGACATTGGGGTGAGGCAGAGGGTATGTTAGAGAGGAACTAGGGACGGTTGAATTATTGCCTAACAATCACTCCTACCCTTTGTTTCCTCATGTCCCTTTAAATAAACATTTCTTGTTCTTGTTTGGGGGGTGGGGCAGGAATTAAACTATCCTTTTTTGATCTCCATCCCAGAGTTAGCAGTGTGGCCAGAAGGTCTCTCCATATTTGAGACCTGGGCGGACAAACAGACATAGCTTGAGTATACAACACTCAAATAAGAGTCAGTTATATTCGCCAAAATAAGTCAAGAGATGTTGAGAGCAATGAGGAAGGAAAGGGCAGGCCAACAGAAATCCTATGTCACTCTCCCCATAATTATAGAAATTCTTAGGTCACAGTTGTGTTTTTTAAAAAGCAACCTGCAACCCTCTACAGCAGTATACCATTTTTCTAGACATTTTTATTTTATGTAATCTTTATTAAGACTTAGCTTATTCTGAATCAATACTTTAAAACATGAAATAAAACACAAAATCTCAAACAGAGGTGGGGGCATGATCATCAATTGCTTTACTAGTGTTGCTCCTCTTAGCAGACACTCAAATTTTGATTAAAACAAAATTCCTCACTTTTTGACTTCTAAGTATCTATGTATCAACATTTTCATCTGAAAATGGGCTTATTAATAAGTACAATCCATCTTATGGAGTACCATGGGATTGAACAAAGTGATATTATAGAGAACTTAGAATTATGTCAGACATATAGTGATTGTTTCATACATGGTTAATCTTTGCTTTTATTGATGGGAAATAGGAGAAAAATCAAAGGGGAAGGGTTGAGTGGATAGATGCAAAAATGGGAGGAGGATGGAAAATAATCAAACCAACATAGGAAAGGCTTAATAGAGAGAATGAACAAGGAGGGAGTGGCAGACTATTCTGTCTTCTGTTCCTGGAGGCTAAGTGGCTCTAAGACACATGGATAATCAGTCACAGAGCTCACAAAACCACGAGAAGTTGAATCAGAGCACAAGACTGTAAGTCTTGCCTTGGAGAAGACTTTTCCAGCACGAAGTAGCCATGAACTCACTTCTCCACCTTCCTTATCCTGTAACGTCAGAGAAGAATGCAGGTTTCTATATGAGTTCTCCTTCGCTTCTTGGCTGTTTCACTGCTCCAGTTGCTGGGGGAGGGGCAGAAAAGCCATCCATGCTCAGCACTGAATAGAAGGGACCACTCACTCCACCAAGGGAAGCAGCATATTGTATAGAGCATATTGTATCCTTCGGAACTATCTGTGAAATAACTCTAGGTACACTTAGGGTGATCCATAGTTTTGACTTCTTTGAAAACAAGGCCTCACTCCCTGTTTTGAGCATGTCTGACAAAATTAATATCTCATCTCTGGTTTCCTTTTTAATATCCCAATAGCCTGTACTCAAACTCAAACTGCTACTGTTTTGCTGTTTAGCTTCCTTAGACCGTCTCACAAACAACTAAGTCCTGCCCAGGATCTCTGTACAACAGAACCAGGACCGTTCTTAATAAAACATGAAACACAAATGTGAAACACAGCACCAGAATCAGCTAACATATACATGTTTTTGAGACAGGAGCTCACTATGTGTAGAGGACTGACCTGGAACTCACTATGTAGACCATAATGGTCTGGAATTCCCCTGCCTCTGTCTCCCAAATGCCAAGATTAAAGGTGTATACCACCACACTTGGCTATTATTTTCAAGTACTTACTACATTCAGAAAAGCACACACACACACACACACACACACACACACACACACACACACACACCATCACTACCAAAATAGTAGGAATCAACAATCACTTGTCATTGACATCTCTCAATATCAGCGATCTCAATTCCTCAATAAAAAGACACAGACTAACAGAATGGATGTAAAAACAGGATCCATCCTTCTGTTGCACCCAAAAACCACAACTCAACATCAAAGATAGACATTTTCTCAGAGTAAAGGGATGGAAAAAGATATTCGAAGCAGATGAACCTAAGAAACAAGCTGGTGTAGCCATTTTGGTTTCTGAAAAAATAGACTTCAAACTAAAACTAATCAAAAGAGATGGGAAGGACACTATATACTCATCAAAGGAAAAATCCACCAAGAGGACATTGCAATTGTTAACATCTATGTCCAAACATAAGGGTACCCAGGTTTGTAAAAGAAACACTACTACAGCTTAAATCACAGATTGATCCTCCCACACCGATAGTGGGAGACCTCAATACCCCATTCTCACCAATGGACAGGTCAACCAGACAAAAACTAATCAGAGAAATGCTGGCACGAACAGACTTTATAAACTAAATGTACTTAACAGATCTTTACAAAACATTTCACCCAAATGCAAAAGATTATGCCTTCTTCTCTGCACCTCATGAAACCTTCTCCAAAATTGACCACATACTCAGAAAAAAAGCAAGCCCCAATAGATACAAGAAAACTGAAATAACTTCCTGCCTCCTATCAGATCACAGGTTAAAGCCAGCTATAAAAAACACCAGCAACAACAGAAAGCTTACAGACTCATGGAAACTGAACAACTCTCTACTGAGCAAAAAAACAGACCAAGACAGAAATTAAGAAAGACTTTCCAGATTTCAATGAAAGTGCCTGCACAACACACCCAAACTCATGGGGCACGCTGGGAGTGGCTCTAAGAGGGAAGTTCATAGCACTAAGTGCCTACATTAAAAACCAAACACCTGGAGAGATCTCACAGTAGCAACTCAACAGCACACTTGAAAGTGTTAGAACAAAAAGAAGTAATCACAGGCAAGAGGAGTAGACACAAGAAATAATCAAACTCAGGGCAGAAATCAATAAACTAGAAACAAAGAAAATACCCCCAAAAAATCAATGAAACAAAGTGTTCTTTGACAGAAATCAACAAGATAGGTAAGCACGTATTCAAACTAAAAGGCAGAGCTAGAATATCCAAATTAACAAAATTAGAAATAAGAAGGGGAGCATAGTAACAGACACCTAGGAAATTCAGAGATTCAAAAGTAAATTCTTAAGAAACTTGTACTTCACTAAATTAGAAAATTTAAAAGAAACGGGTAATTTTCTCAATAGGTACCACTTATCAAAGTTAAATCAAGATCAGATAAGCAATTCAAACAGATCCATAAACCCCCAGTGAAATAGAAGCAGTCATTAAACGTCTTCCAACCAAAGAAATCCCCAGGCTAGAAATATACCATATTTTCAAAGAGGAGTTAACACCAACAGTTCTTAAATTATTTCACAAAATAGAAATGGAAAAAACATTGCCTAACTCATTTTATGAGGCCACAGTTCACCTGATACCCAAACCACACAAAGACCCCAAAAAGAAAAAAAAAATTACAGACCAATTCCTCTTATGAGCACAGACACAAAAATACCTAATAAAATACTTGCAAACTGAACCCAAGAACACATCATGATCAAGCCGCTTCATCCCAGAAATGTAGGGATAACTCAGTATACAAAACCAATAAATGTAATCCATCACATAAACAAACTGAAAGGAAAAAAAAGACACGATCATCTCATTAGATGCAGAATAGGCCTTTGGCAAAATACAACACCCCTTCATGATAAGGGTCCTGGAGAGAGCAGAGATATAAGGGACATATCTAAACATAATAAAAGCAGTTTACAGTAAGCCCATAGGCAACATAGAATTAAATGGAGAGATACAGCAATTCCACTAAAATCAGGAACAAGACAAATTTATCCACTTTCTCCATATCTATTCAATATTAGTGCTTGAATTCTTAACCAGAGCAATAAGACAATGGGAGGAGATTAAGGGTATACACATTGGAAAGGAAGAAATCAAAGTATCTTTATTTGCAGGTAATATAATAGTATTCATAACCGACCCTAGAAATTCTATGGGGAACTCCTAAGCTGATAAACACTTTCAACAAAGTAGCTGGATACAGAATTAACTCACAAAAATTAGTAACCCTCCTATAAAAATCAGGGAAACAACACCTTTCACTACAGCCTCAAATAATATAAAATATCTTGGGTTAACTCCACCAAGCAAAGTGAAAGACTTACATGATAAAAACTGTAAGATATTGAAGAAAAAATAGACAAAGATATCAGAAGATAGAAAGATTTCCCATGCTCATGGATCAGTAGGATTAACATAGTAAAATGACCATCCTACAAAAAAACATCTACAGATTCAATGCAATACCCATCAAATTTCCAATGCAAATCTTCACAGATCTTGAAAGGACAATTCTTAACTTCATATGGAAACACAAAAAACCAGGATAACTAAAATAATCTTGAAAAATAAAAGAACTTTGGGAGGTCTCACCATTCCTTATCTCAAGTAATATCACAAAGCAATAGTAATAAGAACATCATGGTATTGGCAACAGTAGACACATTGATTAATGGAATTGAATTGAAGATCCAGACATAAATTCACAGACCCATGGACTATGATTTTTGATAAAGAATCAAAGAAGCCAGAATTATACAATGAAAAAAGAAAGAATCTTCAACAAATGGTGCTGGTCTAACTGGATGTCTGCATGTAGAAGAATGCAAATAAATCCATACTTATCACCCTGTACAAAACTCAAGTCCAAGTGGATCAAAGACCTCCACCTAAAAATCAGATACAATGAACTGATTGAAGAGAAAGTGAGGGATAGTCTTGTACTCACTGGCACAGGAGAACACTTTGCGAATGGAACATAGATAATGTAGGCAATAAGATCAACAATGAAGAAACGGGACTTCGTGAAATTGAAAAGTTTTTGTAAGGCAAAGGACATCACCATTCAGATAAAGCAGCAGTCTACAGAATGGGAAAAGATTTTTAGCAACTCACCATCTGATAGAGAACTAATATCTAAAATATATAAAGAAACTAGGTATCAAAAAACCAAATAATCTAGTTTCAAAAATGTGGTACAGACCTAAACAGAGAATTCTCTTTAGAGGAAACTCAAATGGCTGGGACACACTTAAAAGAATTGTTCAAAATCCTTACCCCTCAGGGAAATGCAAATCAAAGGTGTTGAGATTCCATCTTACACCTGTCAAAATGGCTAAGATCAAAACACAAGTGACAGCTCATGTTGGAGAGGATATGGAATAAGGGGAACACTCATCTATTGCTGCTGGGAGTGCAAACTTGTACAGTCATTGTGGAAATTGATAAGGCAGTTCCTCAGAAAGTTGGGAGTCTATCTACCTCAAGATCCATTTACCCAAAACATGCTTCATATTACTACAGGGACACTTGCTCAACCATGTTTATTGCTGTTCTGTTCACGATTGCCAAGAACTAAAAGCCACCTGTATGCCCCTTAATAGAAGAATGAGGAAAGAAATTGGAGTGCATTTCCACAATGGAGTGTTTCTCAGCTTTTGAAAAAATTGACATCATGAAATTTATAGACAAATGGATGGAACTAGAAAAAAATCTTTCTGAGTGAGGTAACCCAGACCCAGGAAGATAAATATGATAACACATTCACTTATTTGTGAATTCACTTATATGTAAATGATTACCAACCTACAATCTATAGACCCAGAGAGGTTAGGTATAGAGGAACGTAAAAGAGGGATTACATGAATCTCTCTGGGAGGGGAAAATAGAAGAGATTTTATGGGTGGACTGGGGGAGGGTTGGGACAGAAACAGGAGAGAAGGATCAGGTGGAAGGGACGAGGGGAGATAGGGTTAGGGGAGTGGATGTGGGAGAGACAGCTGGAATTTAGGGGCATTTGAGGGAGTATATGGAAACCTACTGCAGTGGAAACTTTCTAAAATATATCAAGGCGATCCTAATGAGGTCTCCTAATTGGTGGGGTGACAGAGTCCCAACTGGCTATCTCTTGTCACCAAAAGAGGCTTCCAGTACCAGGAATACCAGGACTGGGTTTCATTTAGTTGAGTTATTGGGCAAGTGGGGGGTCTCATGGAAATCCCCAAATGACCCAGGCTGTTGCTAAGACAAGGGGTTGTTCTCCACAAAGTGATAGTGATGACCCATTTTATAGGATAACACCAACACAACTCATTGAACATGGAGAAGTTCAGCTGGTACCTACATGGAGTCTTTATGCCCGTATTCTGGTATGGGAAGGTACTCTGTAGGCTACCAAAAGAGAAAGTGAACAATAACACGGCCACAAAACCTTTGATCTACAATCTGTCTTGCATGAACGATACGCTAGGGCAATGGTGTCACAGAACTTGTGGACATAACCAACCAATGTCTGATTTCATTAAAGCATATTCCATGAGATAGAACCCATACTGGACACTGCTTGTGTGACCCAGAGACTAGATAGCCCAGAGACCTAGGGTAAAACCAAACACTACTTTTTTAAAAAAAAAAAACCAGTAATAAAATGACCCCTAATGATACTCTGCTACACTCATAGATCAGTGCCTTGTTCAGTTATCATCAGAGAAGCTTCTTCCTGTGCAGACGGGAACAGATGCAGAGACCCACAGCCAGACATTATGTGGAGAGAGAATCCTTGGGACACACAGCTCTAACGGGGATGTTTCCATCAAATCCCTTCCCTCAGAGCTCAGGTATCCCCACAGAAGAGGAGGCAGGAAGAGTGTAAGAGCCAGAGGTGATAGAGGACACCAGGAGAGAAAGGCTTTCTGAAGCAACTCAGTAAGGCTCATTTGAACTCACAGAGACTGACGCAGCAAGCATGGACCTTCATGGGGCTGTGCCAGGTCCTCTGTGCATATGCTATAGCTGAAAGCTTAGTCTTTTTGTTTTATTTTGCTTTGTTTTGTTTTTGAGACAAGGTTTCTCTGTTTAACAGCTCTGACTGTCCTGGAATTCACTTTGTAGATCAGGCTGGCCTCTGCCTCCTGAGTGCTGGGATTAAAGGCGTACACCACCACCACAACCCGGCTTCAGTTTAGTCTTTTTTGTAGGCTGTTGGGTGTGTGTGAAAGAATTGCTGTAGCATGAATAATAAAAACCCACAAACAGATTTTGGGGTTCAAGCTGAAGATCAGAAAAGCAAAACAGCCAAACCACTAGAAAAGTTTTACCTCTGCCGAGGCTGGCGACTGCAGGGGCCCTGAACCTTTGTCTTCTTCTGTCTCATATTACCCTTTAGTGCTGGGATTAAAGGTGTGTGTCTCCTTACCACTGGGATTAAAGGTGTGAGGCACCACCACCTTGTGTAGCCCAGGGTGTCCTTGAACTCACACATATCCACCTGCCTCTGTCTCCCAAATCCTGGGATTAAAGGTGTGTGACACCACTGCCTGGCCTCCAGTGGCTTAGTTTTACCCTCTGATCTTCAGGCAAGCTTTATTTATTAAAACATAAATAAAATATCACTGTAAGTGGGTCTGGGTCTGCTCTTGGTCTTTTTTCCTTCTGTTGGATTGTATTGTCTGACTTCAGTGTGATTGATGGCTTTTGTTTCATCACGTTCTATTTAATTTTGTCATGCCCATTTGTTATCTCTAGAAGCCTGTTCTTTTCTATGAGAGACAGGAGGAGAGGCCCTGGGGGGAGGAGATGTGGGCGGGAACTGGGAGGAGTTTAGAGAAGGGAAACTAAGCAGGACATATTATATGAACAAAACATTTCTTTTTCAAAAAATGGGGGAAAAAGAAAAGAAACAGAAGCGTTGGTTCTTATCCCACTTGCTAGTGTTTTCTGTTATATGACTCCAGTGCATATCATTAATTAATTAGCTATCCAACAAAACAATCTTTTATCTTTTTTTTTTCAACACAGGGTTTCTCTGTAGCTTTGGAGCCTGTCCTGGAACTAGCTCTTGTAGACCAGGCTGGCTTCAAACTCAGAGATCCGCCTGTTTCTGTCTCCCAAGTGCTGGGATTAAAGGCGTGCCCCACCACCGCCCAGCCAACAAAACATTTTTTAAGTACTTACAATGTCCCAGACAAATTGTGGAGACAAGACCAGCTAAGCTGAGAGGATTAAACAAAGAGATGGAAATACAAAAGAAAAATCAAACTGACATGATGCTGGACATGAGAAACTTAAACTTAAGTCAAATACATAGTTTGGTGGAAAGCCTCACAGACAAATGGTCATGGGGAGGAGGAGAGAATAACAGGAATCGAAAGCATTCAATAGGAGCTGAAATATCAAGAGGAAGATGATTGATTTATTGGTTTAAAGAAATAAAGCACACAGTTTGGATCTTAAGCTCTTCCTGTAGTTAATGTTTTGAGTAAAATTTAAACAGAAGCCCAGGGTGGTCTGTTGAAAATAGATCAAAGGGACATGTCAATGAATTCCCAAGCATAATTCCTAAAATCTTATGGAACAGTAGGAGTTGAATTCGAACAAGGTTCAGAACTTACAGGTCTGCAGGCAAAGGAACCAGATCCACATGTGCTGCTGGGCCATCTCCGGTCAGGCTGGAGTCTTCTGGGGGAAGCATGAACGCCAGACGCTATCAGCCTGTTTTACTTCACTTTTGGGGCTTCCGGTAGCTTTAGAGGAAGTGTAAGTCGGGGTAAAAATTTGATCTTCTTACTATGACTCCAGTGCCAATAAATTGTTAGTTAACTAACTATTCAACAAACGTTTATTAAGTGCCTACCATGAGCCAGACATATTATGATATGATCAACACCAATAATGTAATTAACCGCCTTTCTTTCGTGGGGTTTCTATCCTTTTTGGAGGGATTGATAATTACACAGGAAATTTCAGTAAGTGGTGATATGTATTGCAGCAAGAAGAAATACAAGGACCTCTGAGAGTGGAGGCATTTATTCCAGGCTAGGGTGAGTTGGAGGCAATTTCTGAAAGGAATTGATAATTTAGCAAAATAAAATAGCATTATTAGCCAAAGAGTTAATTATGTTCTGAATCACGAGACTATCCCTCCTACTGGCCCACTGTCACCGAGGTAAGTTAACTCCCCCACTCATGAACAGCATCAGTTGTCCCTACAGCTGAACTGCATGCAGGCCTTGGTGGGACAAGACCAGCTAGGTTGAACCAACACCAAGACCCAGTCTGACTGCACAATGCAGGTGTGTCAAACGCATTCTGAAAGACAGACGCACGTTTCCAGATGGCAAGACAGAGTTAGAGCCAAAGCTGGCTCTGAAGTCAGAGGCAAACAAGATCCAGCGTAGGAGCCAGAAGTGTCAGCCAGATTCAAAGCCAGAGCTGGTCCAGACAGGTGCTCACCATTAGAGAGCCCAAGAAGTACCCCGTCCCAGAGGAGCACCAGCAAGGCTGGGTTCCAGGATCCAGGAAAGGAACGTGAGAGGTGTCAGATAATATCCAGCAATAAATGGTCTATTTCTGGTAGTGACTGCTATTGAAGATGGGTTCCTACTCTCGGAGTAGGGTGAGAGCGATAGAGTTTAGTATCCTCAGCACAGAAAGAAATAAATTATAACTCTACTACAATCTAATCCCTCCGAAACACTGCACTCACTCTCTGAAACAAGAAAAGTGACCTAAGGGAAACTGACACCTGAGCAAGTTCCAGTGCACAGCTCACAAATAACATGAAAGCATCAAGATAACTTGTCTTGTGCTGGAGGAGAGAGGGTTCAGTGGTTAGCACTCTCTGCTCTTCCAGAGGACCTGGGTTCGATCTCCAGCACCCACAAGTGTCTAGAACTCCTATTTCAGGGGATCCAACAGCGTCTTTTGGTCTCTGAAGGCACTGCACGCGTGTGGTGCACAGACATACTTGCAAAACAATCGTACCTATAAAATAAAAATGAGGGAAAACCCCATTTTTCCCTTAAACTACACACCCCGGAGTAATGACTCCTGATCACAGCGACCTAGAAATAATTTTTAACAGAACGATTATGAATATGTTCTCATTTCCTTGACACAAAACCAGACAGGAGGACCAGTGGAACATAATAAAAGACACAGAGAAAAGCCCACACAGCTACGGTCACTTCATCTTTGTTGATGCTGTCAAAACCACCCAGATGTTGTTCTTCTCAAAGATTTTCACTCACACAAACAATAACAGCGTGTCCTGGCTGGTTTCATGTCAGCTTGACACAGGCTAGGGTTAGTTGAAAAGAGGGAACCTGAACTGAGGCAATGCCTCCATAAGACACAGCTGT